TGGGTTTTTACTTATACAAATTGGGTATTATTTATAGGAACAAAAAGTGAAGGGTTTTAGGTACGGTAAATTGAATTTGAAGGGTGTAAGCCAAATTTACTAAAAAATATATATGCGCGAGCAGCGTAGAAAACAAAATTATAGCCTCTTTGAGGCATTTTATCTAATAGTTTATGGACACCAGCAAATAGATATTTTCCAACATTTTCATGATATTTTCTGGTGAGGGGAGGTACGGCTACACCTCCTTGTACCTCAATGGGTCCACCACTGTGTGTACGAGACAATTTGACATCTCTTTTAAATATGCTTATTAGACCATGTCCAAGTGGTGGAATGAAATGTCAAAATTTGAGTTTTGACCCCAAAATCCGTCTCCAACCTACGTATTTGTTGGGGCTTTTTGACCAAATAAAAAAAGGTATTGGGGCTAAATCCTTGCCGAGTCAACTTGTTGAGCTACGTACTGCCTAATGAATTGCCTGAATCAATATTTTATGGAGTCCACGAAGACAACAAAAGCAGCCCACATGCTTGCCCCACCTAATGCAATGTGCCCGTTATACATATATAAATATATTTTTGTTGGAAGTGATAGATATAATTTTTTTGGTAAAATGGGGGCAGCCAAAAACTTAGCCAGAAGCTAAACTAACATGATATGATACATATATAATTTAAACAGAAAGGTTATTGACTAAAGAAAGAAAAGTCCCTTGCAAACGCTACATCCTAACTGGGTCAACTACTATTTCTTTATAACGTAATTCTTTTTCTTCAAACTTGATATATTATGACGAATAATACGTTTAACATAAAGAGAGAAAGCAAATAAAGGAAGGAAAGAAAGCCCATGAGGATGGATTGAATGGTCATAATTGAGCATCAATCTCAAGCACAATATCATGCGGCCCCAAAAGTGAGGCAAAATTGACACCTTTGCGCTGAGGAAGATGAGTCAGCTTGTCCAACTCCTCCTCCGTCAAGGACCAACCGAAGATGTCGAGGTTGTGCTTCATTCGGTCCTTGTTGTAGCTCTTGGTCACCATGCTCACCCCTTGCTCGTACACCCATCTCAACGATATCTGCATATGTAATTAATTATAAGATTAATCAATAATTAATCAAATCAAAGATACTATTAATTTATGATGTAATTTATTCTATGTATTAATTTTTATTGTTGTTAACTTATTCTGTTTTAATTAGGGGGTTTCACTAAAACACCTAAAATGGGGCTGAAATTATAAAAAAACTCAACACCCAAAACACTTTATAAACACACCCAAAACCTATCATTACACACACTCAAAACCCATTTATAAACACACCCAAAAAATATACAATTGTTGATTTTGGGGTTGATTTTGAGTGTGTTTCTATATTTAAATAGTGTTTGAATTTTTTTATAAATACATGTCTAGAATTTGATTTATTTATAAATTTGTATTTTAATTATCTCCGGCCCAGTTTTATGATATAAAGTTTAAAATTTTTTTAATTGAGGATGTCCTTTTGCACTTGGACTCTATATTTATGGGCCCCAAGAAAGTAAAGCCCAATTTGAGGCCCCCATTTGGGATGGCCTACGTAAGTAATCAAAGGTACCTGAGCTGTTGTTTTGCCTTTGGCTTTGGCAATGTCTTGGAGGATAGCTGAGCCTAAAACTCTGTCGTCTCCCCATTTTGTCCCAGATGCACCCAACGGAGAGAATGCTGTGACATGGATCCCTTTTGCCTTACAAAACTCCCTCATGTTTTTCAGCTGCCAGGCTGGATTCATCTCCACCTAAACACACACACATCATAATTAATTCCCTCGTGTTTTAATTAATTCTGCATATATATAATATATAAATAAATAGTTACTTGGTTGAGGGCGGGAGGGATTTTGGCGATGGAAAGGAGGTCCTGAAGCATGTTGCAGGTGAAATTACTGACGCCAATGGCCCTGGCAAGGCCCAGTCTCTTGCACTCTTCCATGCCTTCCCAAACAGACTTCAAATCTAGAGGTTGCACAATCTCCTTTTCAACAGGCGTACTCTTCACCTCTTTCACTAACTTGAAGGGCCAATGAATTATGTACATATCCACATACTCCACTTGAAGATTCCTATATCATAATATTATTCATTAATAGTGGATCAAACTTCAATTAATGATTAATTAGTATATTACATTAAATTAAATAATATATAGGATACCTTAAACTGGCCTTGATGGCAGGCACTACAAGGTCCCTCTCAGCAAAGCTGGCCCAGAGCTTGGTGGTGATGAAGAGCTCACTTCTGGAGTTGATGAAACCAAGACGCAGGGCTTCGGCTATGCCTTCACCCAGATCATGCTCTGATCCGTAAATGAAGGCCGTGTCGAAGTGGCGGTACCCCGTTTTGATAGCTTCAAGAATTGCAGCCTTGGCTGTTTCCGGATCGGCGCGAGGGTACGATGAAGTCCCCATGCCGATCACTGGCATTGTTATGCCGTCACACGAGTTTAGTGTTACCTCAGGAACCACCATTGACGGCATTATAAATGTCCACCCAAAAAAAGACTAATAATTTCCAAATTAACTTCTTCAACACGAGTTACACACTAGATAGGTAGATGTATGTCGTGGCCTCCAGTTGCACTATTGCCTTGCCTTTATATAGGCACTACATAGAGAGTCGTAGGTCATGCGAAAAATACTAAGTCTAAGTCAACTGCAACTTTTGTTTACTTTTTTATTTTTAAGAAAGAAAAAAAGTTACTTAAATTCATAATGATTTAATTAGAAAATAGCCTGTGGTTGTGAGTGGATTGATCAAAGAAAAGTCAAACATTGAGAATGTGATGCTTGCCTTTGATTGAGCGAACCATGACCATGTATATTTTGGGGTATCTAGGTGCCCCAAAAAACTCAATAACTCAATAATAATGATGATGATGTGCGTCAGGTCCAATAATTAATTACAGTATTATGATATATATCAGATTTTAATTTGGATGTTTAAATTAGGATAAGTGGTTGTTTTCCTGCATGGATGACCTAAGATTTCTAGCAACAAAGACTTGATCAATGATGCATATGATACAACACTTCAGTTGATGATTAATTAATTACGTTAACCATGGAATAAAGATAATTTATGAAAGCAAAACTAAGATTTCTGACTTTTGTTTGAGTTTGAAACATGTCAATAAAAGTTAGCTAGCTACTGCTGCTTGTATATCATGAACTTGATCGATTCACATTCAATGATTCGATCAACTGATTGAAATCAAATTTGTAAGTGAGTGGGTGCTGACAATTAATTCATATGAATTAATTCGATGGATACCTTTCTGTCTCTTGTCTTTCTTCCATTTCTATCTCATAAATAACGACCATGACTTTGGACAAACTAATCACCCACATATATTTTCAAGTAATTCAAGCGTCTACGGCGATGCGAAAGGCTCATTGACTTTGACGGAGATGCGCAAGGAGAGATTAGGACTGTACAAGCGAGCATGAAGACAGGTCGCATTTGAGCCTTTTGGTTTCAGATTGCAGACTTTAATTTTTGCAGTTAGAGGATATATTTCTATTCAATTTGTCTTTTGAGAAACTAATCGGGTAGCACATGGTTAGCCGGTTTGACTTTACCACAAACATCATCATGGTCACCACCACCACCCCTCTCTTCTCTCTCCCTTCTGCTGTGTATGATGCTTTGGCGGAGGACAATTTGTAATCCTTTTTTGCTATCAATGAAATCACTAATTCTCAACAACAACAAAAAAAAGAATCTACGGCGATCACTAGTTTTTTTTTTAAAATATATTTTTGTAAGTAAACATTTCTCAGGTGCAAAATTATGCAACCGACATAAGTGGAAAAGTAGCTTGGATTTGGATCCTAGTCTTAAAGGGTTTGTTTGGGAGTATTTCTCAAAGGGCTAAAAGTGTTTTTTGATAAACAAAAACGCTTTTGACATCATTTGATAGTAAAGTTTAGAAGCGCTTATGGGCCATAAAATGCCTGGAGAAGTACTTGTCAAGGGGGTACTCTAGGTCACTTTAACTTTAAAAGAATTAAATAAGATTTTACCATAATTTCAAAGAATACTTCAGTAAATAAAGCTTATAATTAATTAACCTAGGTAATTTGTTCCCTTGACTTTTGTGAAGAAATAGTTCCAGTGTCTTCTTTTTTGCCAACATAAACTTCATCAGCGAAGGAAAAAATAAGGTAATTCTTTCTTCTTCTTTTTTTGCTCAACGGAAAGTAGTTATATTCTTAAAAGGGTTAATTAAGCAAATTACCTTTACAAGCTTGTATTGGAATTTTTAATTTTTTAAAAAAGCTTGCATTGGAATTTGGACTCGAAACAAAAGAAACCCACTGTGGCCAAAACTTAGAGAGAAATTTTAATGCGAGATAATACTTTTTGCTATCACATGTCAATAATGCAATGATATGTATGATAAATTTTTCACGTGTCAATGTGTTATTGACCGGAGATAGCATGACAATGTTATTCCAGTTATAAGTAAGTTTTTTTGCAAAATGTGGGCTCGAAGATGGGCCAATTGAGCTTGAGTGTTTTTTTTGGGTCGAAGGGCTTGAGGGGTTTTTTTTTTTGGGACACATAAGAGCTTGAGTTCAATCAGAAGGTTGAAGGCATTATCAAACTTGGAACTTGCAACTCTCTCATCAAACTTTAATAATCATTGGTAGAGTTTATTGGGAGTTTTTTTTTTTGTTGTTGTTGATACAAGTGATGTTGGGTATGGAGAAATTTGAACACATGACCTCTCGGGTGCAGAAGTAACTGCTTTTAATCAGTTAAGCTACAAGCCCCTTGCGAGTTTAAAGGAAATTGAGATGATAACAAGAATGTGTTATATAGGTGAATTTTGATGATTAAATCTCTCCATCCCAAAGCTTGTGAAGAGACTTGTAAGGGCCTTCATCTGCAATGAAGTTGATTGCTGGAAATCCTCTGTTTTGTGGAATTTGATTGATGTTATCCAATTCTTGAGGACTCAGCTCCCAATCAAATATGCCAGTATTTTCTTGGATCCTGTCCTTATTGAAGCTCTTCACCACCAAACTCTCACCCCTTGCTCGTATACCCATCTCAGACAAACCTTCATTTTGATTTATGCATGCACAAGAAGAGCACCCAGAATCATTCATTAATTTTAATTGAATGCAATCATTCAGGCAGGATTGTGCATGGTAATTATTTCGTAATTAAATAGGGTGTGAGTGCACCTGTACCTGTGCAAGGGTTTTTCGTTTTGCATCCGCAATCTGTTCGAGCACCTCACATTCCTTGACTTCTTTGTTAGAGTTTGTATAGGAAAAAATACACTTGCATTTAGTCCCACGTTGGGAGGTAGTTGTTTCCTTCCATGGTTTATAAGCACCAAAACTTTAGAAATACTAAATAGGGTATGGGCCTAGTGGAGGCAAAGTTGGGCCTCATTGGATGATTTGTGACTATCATAAATTCAAGTCAGTATTCTGTAATTTATTCTACTGTTGTATTGATTTGATTATATATATAAAGCATATTTTGATTTATTTATTATTCTGTTATTTGGTTTTATACTGATTGTTCTCCAACAATCTTTGTCCCCCAAGGTGCTCCATTTGCCCCCAATGGAGAGTAGGCTGTGATCACTATGCCCTTCGTCTCACAAAACTCTATTAGCTTTTTCTGCTGCCACAGCGGGTTCATCTCGACCTAGTTATTTAAATTAATTGCAAGTTATAATCAAACCAGCAGATTAATTATTAAGTACTCTTGCCTTGAATCATTCGTATATATATAGTTTTTGGGCGATTACTTGGTTGACTGCAGGGGGGATTTTTGAAGTAGCAAGCAAGATTTCTAGCTTCTTGCATGAGAAGTTGCTGACACCTGTGGACTTGGTGAGGCCAAGCTTCTGACACTCCTCCATTCCTTCCCACAATGACTTGGAATCCATGGCAACAAGGTCCTCTTTCTTAAAAGGATATTCATAGCTTTCAGCTCTCTTCAAACCCACTGCAAATGTATCAGATACATATCAAGGTACTCCAATCCCAGATTCCTGAATATATTTTATACACACACACACACACACACACACACACACACATACAAATTACAATATACAATCTGAATCAAAATTTGCAATTAATGAAAATGTATTATGAATTGAAAATGAATGTTAATTGATCAAGTAATTAGTTACTTGAGTGTGTTGTGAATGGCTTCTTTTGTGGCTTCGTTGTCAGCAAAAGGATATGAAGCCGTCCCTAATCCTATCACTGGCACAGGCAACTCCGGAATATTTATATTGCTTCTTCCCATTTTGAATTTTGATCTCCACAGGCTTGTGCTGGTTCTCTTCTGTAATCTCTGCGGACCAGCTAAAACTTAAATGGTCCATATTTAGTGTTTGGTGATTACCCTTCGGAGAAAAGGACGACAAATTTGGCAACATGTACACCATCCATGCATGTAAATATCTAGTCATCTGGATGATTTGATTTTGATCAGTATGCCTCTAACTTATTATAGCTAAGGTTAGGTGTGGGATTTTAATATCCTTTTCCTTTGTGGCTTTTTATTTTTATTTTTTTACCTCATATTATTAGAATATCTCATCTACATGAGCATGGCATTGCATTGCACAATATCTCATAAAAGATTTTTCTTTTTCTTTCTTCTTTTCTTGCAATCTCATAAACAGACCTAGGATATCTTAGACTTGCTTCCTTAATTCAACCCCATTTAAACATTCTTTATTAGTCTTAGAAGCACCACCAATCCTCCGTTTGGATGAAGAAAAATAACTCAGAATTTAGCTAAAAATTAGAAATTGAAGAGAAGAAATTGATATTTCCATTGTTTGTCAATTTAAACATGAAACTTATTAAATGAGGTGGAAAAAATAGTGAAAATTGGGGATCAAGATTCCTGAATTTAATTTTCGCCAAAAGAGTCGTCATTTCGCAATTCTAATTGAGCATGACTTCATTTTCACTATAATTTTTGTCATTTACAAAGTTTCGACATACATAAATCCAAACACTGAAATTATTAATTGCCAGAAATTTAATAACGAAGATCTAAATTCTGTCATTTAAGAATTTTATGTAATTTTAAATTCCTTCATCCAAATAGAGAGCAAAGGAATTTTTCTACCTCAAATTGAAGGCCTGATATCTTGTTAATGAAAGCTATAATCTGGACATAGGCGTGTGTTGGTATGACTTGGTGCCTCTTTGGGCTGGAGCGGCTTTGGTTGATGATATACTTGGAGTCTCTAAGGCCCGTTTAGTTCGTGTTGTGTAGGTTTTGTTTGGGTTTAGGCTCAATAACCAAGCCTTGCATAACTTTAAAAGGCCCATCACCCGGATTGTATAAATGTAGCCCAAGTCAAAGTTAAAATGACAACGAACTTTCCGTATATAAGAGTTGGAGTTTACATACAAAGTTGGACTAGCTGGACTTTATAATCTCACTCAGGGAACAGAACATTACTGTTAATTATCACATGCAAAATGATTTCTCATCTCTCTAGGCTCTAGCATTGCATTTCAAAGTCAAACATATATCGAATCAGAGCACAAATTGAAATGCCCCTT